ACTCTATATGTTAAAGAGCGGAAAATGAATGATGAGATGCATGCAATTTGGAAAATAATGGTTTGTTTAAGTTGATTTTCAAGAATAGTTTAATTTTCAGATTATATACTTCTTCGTCAATTTGAATGGTTGTATGTTGTTGTGAGGTTTATTGAAAAACAAGCAATCTACATATTTTATAATAAACTCTGGGTACTTTCAACAACCATTATTTATTTTATCCGTGATGAAATGTGATTTACCTAAATGTATATACCACAACGGTTGATATAAGTAACCGTTGTGGTAGGAAGCGTTTGTCCTGCCTTACTATCACGGTCTCGCGACCGTGGTGGAAAGTATCAGACATACAATCATCCATTACCTAACAATGGTTGGTCAGGTGTTCTGGTATCTATTTTTCAATCGTCGTTGTATGGTTTTTCTATAGTAGTGTCAAAACATATTTTCTTTCTTTTAATCAGTTAATATTTTAAGACACACTTCAACTTTCTCCATGAAGAATAAAATTATTTCTTTGTAAGAAGCCTATTTTTTTTTATAAAAAATAACTTCACACGAAGAGCAACAAATTAATCGTAACATTTTTATTCCATGCAAGAACACACAAATTAGAAGACCTTTATGTGCTCAAAGATTGACAAGCAACTGATAATCTCTTTGACTGAAAACCTTTCACCAAGTACTATTTTTCTAAATATGTTTATCCCATGTCACTGCGGCATGTTCATATGCTCGCAAAGACGCTTCCAATCATCTCTCTGATGTTTACAAATTCATAAATATTTTCAATGTGTACAACAATAGCTTCTCGGTGGTAGCATTTGAGGATTTTTGGCTTGAATATTAAGGGGACATAATTTGGCACAACAAAAACATGCGACGGAAAAAAAGGGTCACCCTAACACCACATGAATTATAACAGAATTGGATACGACTGATAAGATGATAAGATTATGTGATTTATGTCGTCAGCCCTGACACAATTAGATAAAATGTCTCAATGTTCGAGCAAGTTCTTCATGAACTTTATTTGTTTTCTTTAAATTTTTGTAACCTCGTTATTTATAATATATCAACTTTTGGTTACAACATAAAATTTTCACACATAAACAACACAAGACATAATAATACAAATAAAATACGCATAAAACAATAAAAACAATAGACATCATATCTCTAACATCGTCGTCATCCCTAACTCACATATGCATACGCTGCGTAGCATTATTATCATCTACAATTGAGATGTACAAAATAAGCCTTTTGATACTCCTAATTCTTTTTCATCGTTAATATCTTCGTCTAACCAACTTCTCAAACTCCACTCAAGATGTTCAAACCTTTAGATGTTCCAAAAAAGCATTTTCATTGGAGATTTTCTTGCGGAATAACATACATGTCCATATCTTTTAACAATTATGATAGAGCTAGTGATGAAAATGAAAGAAGAATTTGAAATAAAGTGTTAAGTGAATTAAATGGTAGGATGCATCTCTATTTATATTTAAAAAGATTCACAATATACATGGGTGTCAGGCCAATTGGTATCTCCCTTTAAATTTTTTACACTCGCAATTGAATTGACAATAACATATGGAGTCGTCAATCTAATTGCCGTCAATTTGCCTTGCTAGAGTACTGCGTCCATAATTTTTTTTTGAAAGTGGAGTATTTGGAGAGTTTTTATGAAACATAAATTATTTTAAGAATTAATTTGAAAAAATCAATTATTTGAATAAAAAGTTCATTGAAAACTCGCTCCCTTTAATTTTGTTTCATTTGCTGGTATTTTGTCATTACACTACAAACTTAGAGAAAAACACTTAGATAGAAATCGGCATAACACGTAATCTAGTCCATCACAATTTTTTATTAATTAAAAAATAAAAATAAAATTTTCTCTCTTCTTCATTATCACAACCATCTCATAATTTCAATTAAAAAATAAATTAAATTTTAAATAAATTTAGATTTTTTTTCTTTATTTATTAGTTGTTTTTAAAATATAAATATAAGTTTTTCATGCAAGTGTTTATTTGAAAATTCATCTTTTGTATTTAGACAATTAAACTTGAGTTGCTTTTAATATATTAATTTCATCAATTTAAATAAATAAATAAAAATATATTTTTCAATTTGTTTATAACGTATTTTAGTTTATCATGTATATCACGGATGTGATTTGTGTGCTTTATATCAATCATGCTGTCATTAGAGTTTATAACATGCACGCAATCATCTTAAACCGACATCCGATTTTGTGTCTTGAATTCTTTAATGGCAACATGACAATTCCTGCATTTCATTATTCGTTGATACGTCAATTGCAAGTCCTTGCTAGAATTAAAACTTGTAAAATTAACTAAAAGTTGAATTCAACTAGTTATCGAAGATTTTTCATTATTCTACCCTTGTTTGAAACCAAAAATTCTATAATAATCCAGTTTGAAAATTATTTATTGGAATACCCTATTTTTGTGGAAGTTCGTCCACTGAATGGGCGAACGTATATAACAAAAAAATGGTCTTTGTAAGTTCGTCCATTGAAATGGCGAACTAGTGAAAGAAAAAATAGTCTATTTTTTTTGGTTTTATTTATTTATTTAATGAGTTAATGATAAATAATATAATGATAAATATAATAATTTTGTTTATTAACAATTTTAATTTTAAATATTAAAATATTAATGTTAATAATTTTTATTATAATTAATAATAATAAAATAATGTTAATAATTTTTAATAATTTTAATTATAAAATAATAATTAATAATAATTATATTATAAAATTAGATTATAAGAAATGTTAATAATTTTATTAAATTACAACAATTCGTGATAAATAATTTAATGATAAATATAATAATTTTGTTTATTAACAATTTTAATTTTAAATATTAAAATATTAATGTTAATAATTTTTATTATAATTAATAATAATAAAATAATGTTAATAATTTTTATAATTTTAATTATAAAATAATAATTAATAATAATTACATTATAAAATTAGATTATAAAAAATGTTAATAATTTTAACATTCCAAAATTAAATTACAACAATAAAATTAATTAAACAAAATTATTAACATATATTTAATAAATCATTATATATTTAGTAAATCATTAAATATATTTATTAAATATATTTAATAAATCATTAACATATTTAGTAAATCATTAACATATTTAGTAAATCATTAAATATATTTATTAAATATATTTAGTAAATCAGTAAATCATTAACATATATTTAATAAATTATTAATATATTTAGGAAATTATTAAATATATCATTAAATCATTAAATAAATAAATCATTAAATAAATAAATAAAATCAGAGAAAAAAAAGGTCATTTTCTCTTTCAATAGTTCGCCCTTTCAGTGGACGAACTTACAGAGGTCATTTTTTCTTTTACTTGTTCGTCATTTCAATAGACGAACTTACAAATGCTATTTTTTTTGTTGCACACGTTCGCCCATTCAGTGGACGAACATCCACAAAAATAGGGCATTCCAGTAAATAATTTTCAAAATAAGTTATTATAGAATTTTTAATTTCAAATAAGGGTAGAAGAGTGGAAAAATCAGTTATTGAGATTCTTTTAATTTCCAATTAGCCCTACATGAGTACCACCAAAGTAAAGCCATCATTGAGCATATTTTTTTATAAATTAATTAATCAGGCATCTGTACTTTGAGTAACCCAGGAATAAATAGGAAAGGTTATATGATAACCAAGTTCAAGAAAGACATAAAAAAAATATAGTTTAATACACGTAATTGGCACCAACAATTTATATATATTATCCATGTTTAATCTTTATTATAAATAATATTATTTCCATTCTTTTTTATAAAAGATAATTTATTTTCTAAGTTTATTTAATAACTAATGTATTTTGTCAGTTTTTAGATTATAAATACTAATTATTTAATAAATCTAAAAAATAAATTATCTTTTATAAAAAATTACTGAGATAGTATTAAAGTTCATGAATACTAAACAATATTAAATAGTTTCAAATAATTATAATTACAAAAATAAAATAAAAGATGAAAATCAATATATAGAAAATTGTTTATTCAGTTTGATATATGAAGAAGATAACAATTGCACAATTCAGTATAATCAATAGTCTTTATCAACATTTACTAATGAGTTATAATGAATTAGTCCATCAAATTCATAAGAAATTTTTGGACACAAATTAAAAAATGTAATGACATTGTCATAAAATATTGTATTTTATTAAATTAATTTTATTAATGTGTTGAAAATAGTGTACAGAATAATAATTATATGAGAAAATTAAAAAAATAATAATTATTACTACATTAAAAAGGAAAAATAACATTAATTTTAAAATAATTTTTTTTCTAAAACGATAGTCATTTTAAAACAGAAGAATTATAGATGATGAATATTAGAAAAAATATAACTTTAATTTTAATTATTTATAAACTACTCTTCGTGTTTCAAATATAAACAACAACAAAAATTAATGGTTTTAAATATAAACAAAAGTCAATGTTATTATTTTAAATATAACTGTGTTTTTCTCATGTTTTCAACGATTTTCAAAAAAAATATTATAAAATTAAAACAAATGTAAGATTAAAATATTTTTAGACATTTTTCTCGAAAGATAAACTTTTCTATAAAATTGATTATATATAATTGATTATATATAAGACCGAAAAAATATCAGAAAACAGACGATAGTGATAAAAAAAAAATTGTTTCACCACCAATATCCAGATCCTGCATCGTAAATCTTTTTACACCAATAGTGTAAGTTGCAGAAATTAATCTCATTTAACATATTTTCGTTTTCCCAAAGATGCTTAACCAACTTGCTTTATTTAAGTCAACTCTTCTCTTTATCCATGTCACTCACATCACACGTAAATATTGTATTCTTCCTATCATACCTTATTTTATAACTTCAACATCTCTCTCTCTCTCTCTCTCTCTCTCTCTCTCTCTCTCTCAATGGTTCTAGATCACAAACAACCCAACACTCCTCTTCAAACCACCATGGTAACATGGCAGCCCCGCCGCAGGATCTCCCTATTCAGACGGCGGAAAGTCCAAACGGTGAGGCTAGGCGGCAAGTCACCACGGCGGCGATTAATTGGCGGGATAGTGAGAATATTTAGAAGGATGCGTGTAAAGTGGCTTAAATTACAATATATTAAGCTGTTCAAACGGCTTAAAGAACATTATAGAAACCTTGTGAAAGATCTTATTGAAGCTGGTGCTACCGTTGAAACTTTTCACCAACGGCTTTTTATGGAAAGCACTTTTGCTATTCCTCTTGGTGTTAACTTATCTACTTATCCTTCTCGTTTTGGATCTGATCACCCTCGAACTATCTTCATGTAAATTATCAAGTCTTTTTTTTATAATTATTTTCTATATATATGTATGCATATATAACAAGAAAAAGGAAATTCAAGCTCTGTTGGAAATTTTTCTTTTAATTTCTTGCCTCGTGATTTGATTTTTTATGAGATTGTGAGGAAGTTATTTTATTGGTACTTCTATTTTTTTCTCTTATATTTTTTATCACAATATATAATAATCACATCTATTTTTCCTTGGGTATTATGGGAATTTGGATCTTGTGAGGAAACAATAGGGTAGATCTCACAAATAAATGCAAGTGATTTTATCATTACTATTGTCTCTTTGTTGAAATTTGATTCCTCACTCAGTTTGAGTTTTTTTTTACCTTAACTTATTTTTGGTTGGTTTTTGTTTAATAAGGAAAATGAATTATGGGAAGTAGGGACACATTGTGGTTGGTTTAAGTAACACTCTTGTACTTGTTAAAAAAACAAACATTTTGTACCAGAATGTTTTTTTTTATGTGACAAGTTGTATTTATTTTTGAAGTAATGAAATATTTGGTTTATGGATGTTCTTACTAAAGAATGTGAAATATGAGGTGCAGGTGTAGTCTGATCATGTAGAGAATTATATGCAATAAATAGAGATATAAAATAGAATATTTTGTTTTTAATAATTTTTTAAAATAAAAAGAAACAAAATTTCAATGATTTTTTTAAATACTGTCGTCTCTAAATAAGACTATTTTGAAAAATTATTGTCTACTTTTATAAGTCTTTTGTAAATTTTTAACTACATTAATTATTTATTTACTAGTATTAGTATATCTCTATTTTTGTATACAATTGATTCTTTGAAGAGTTTGCGGAATGTTAAGAATCTTAATAAATTAAATATTTAAGATTAAAAAAACTTTGATATCATATGTCTATTAAAAATTTTAAGGTAATTGATGTATGAATTATTTTTCTTGTGTATCCAATATTGTTTTTTAAATAAAGAGAAAAATACTTTCAATAAATTTTAAATAAATGATTTTTTTTTTATAAATAAAGCAAAAAATATTTTCAATGATTTTTTTAAATACTGCCGTCTCTAAATAGGACTATTTTGAAAATTTATTGTCTACTTTTATAAGTCTTTGTAAATTTTTAACTACATTAATTATTTATTTATTTACTAGTAGTAGTATATTCCCATTTTCATCCATGAATGCATCTCATCATTCACACTCTCCAACCATTTGTAACTATCTTTGCTTTCGATTTTTTTTCATGGAAGTATTTTGTTTTGAACCCTACAACTCTTCAATTATATTCAAAGTATAACAAATAAGATCAACATGATTATATCTTTAAGGTGGTACAATCTCCCTACTCAGTATACCACATGTCAATTGACAATCTAGAGCCATTGTAGCCTTCCATCTTTAGTTCAAGAAGAGAGAGTCTTAACTTCCTCCTTGTTTATAGTATCACTAGTAGAAACCTCGCTTTAAGTTTAGTATTATCTACCATAATTTATGATTGTTTGACTTCCAGGTATTTACACTTCATCCATATATATGTCTCATAAAAAATACATCCCTACTTATGATAAACTTTGATCCTCTAAATTCTAACTTTCATAGCTTGTAATTGTTCATACCTTCAGGATAACCAATGAAGACACACTTCACATGCATAACAAAAAAAAATCACTATGTCAAAAAAGATCTTTAGCATCGCTTTTTTTTTTTGTCTTATTCGATATGTGTAAATGAAAAAGCTCCAAAGACCTTCAAATTAGAGTAGTGTATTGGCTTCTCACTTCAAACCTATATAGGTATCTTGAAGTCTATTATCTTGGTTGGACATATGTTGATCAAGTAAGCTCTAATAGAAATAACTTCACCCTAAAAATTATTTGTCAACTAAGCTCCTAGAAACATGCACCTTACCATATCCAATAGTATTTATTTCACGGGTTCAGTTAGGAAATTTTGTCGAGGTGTGACAACAACGATTCTATGCCTCTTTATGTCGTGTTTCCTGCCAAATTCATTAGAGTGATTAAAAAAACTCCAAAAAATTATGAGTTCTCAACACATTCAGTTCAGTTCCCATATGATTTTATATAAGATTGTGTCACTCCTTGAACTTTTCAAAGGTGTCACTTTTATTTTTCAAAATGTAAACCCGTACTTTTATATAAAAATCATCAATAATAGTAAGAAAATAGAAATCACCCACATGAGTTGCCACCATTGTCGGACCCCGTCGCTCCAAGTAAATATACCTAAACTTCATATGATAAGAAAACTCAAAACTCATCAACCCTAGTGCACCAATACTCTTAGTAGGTTTATAACAATTGTAAGATGGTTAGGACTTGTCTGCGACGATGAAAAACCCCATATAGTGGTATTCTGCGGCGGTTTCGGAATCTTGCACACTAGATGTTGAGATTAATAGGAATAAAAAAAGTAAATATTAAAACCAAAGGTAACAATTGAATTAAAAGTTCAAAGAACGTTGTTTCAAGAGTATTTAATTAATAGTATAAGTTAAAAAGATATTGGAACATTTTATCATCAATATGTCGTGGTGCTCTCAAACTCCAATCATATCTTTAAAGGAATATATTATTCCATTTACGTATAATGTCTCATTTTCATCTTGTAAATTCCAAGAACATTGTCGATCCTAAATCATAGTAAAGAAAAAAAAAGAAAAACATAATATACCGAATAAAAAAATTTAGTATTAGTTTATGTTTAATATTACTCACAACAAAGTCACAAATGTAGAAGTCCCCTGTTGGCGTTCATTCCCTAAGTTTGCTTCTCCTTCTATAGAGGAAGTCTATAGAGGAAGTTATCGTGATTGATTTGTTGAAAACTCCAAGCCATCAGTCACATGGCTTCAGGGAAGTTGAAAATGATGGGGTGAAGTCAAATCATATGAGGGTCCCACCAAAAGCAATGAGAAATTCCAAGCTAAGCACGTGACTCACCAGTTTTCTAGACTGCAAGTTTATGAAGTTATTGGTTCTTCGTCTAGTAAATCTTGTGTGTAAAAAGTTAAGAGTATTGCGTCTTTGTTGGGGAGATATTATTTGGGGGCGTGAATAAGAGTCAAAATCAAATTGGGCTTGGGTTGGCAAAAGCCCAATCTACAAATGATTTTGTTGTTCAAAAGAGCAATGTCCATCAATTGAAGAAGTCTTTTTCCTCTGGTTGAGTTTTCCATCGCCAAAACTCAGATTCTGATTTTCTCATTCAAAATCTTACCTCTAATTTCTTTAGCCACCGAGCAAAACTAGACTGTGTGGTAACCAAGCATAGAAGATTCCTTCCTATATGGGAAGGAGATGTTCTACTATTTTAAAATCTTCTACTAGTTCTCAGATGGGGATGTTGTAACACCCCAGACTGGTTTCAGGATTACCGACTGACCCCACAAACCAACACAGGTGTTTTAAGCATACTTTGTCCTCGCTCACACTCTTTTCGATAAACTTCCCAAAATGTCACCCATCCTAAAATTGCTCCAAGTCAAGCACGCTTAACTATGGAGTTCTTATGGAACAAGCTGCCAAAAAGAAGATGCATCTTGTTGATATAGGTAATACCTATCAATCCTTATAAACCTTCCTTTAACCATGCAGTCTCATACATATACAACCTCAGGATCCCTCTCATTCTAATGTGAATTCAGTTTTTCCCTAGAAGCTGCTAGGAGTGTCTCTTTGTCATGCCTCGTGCACTGACAACCATTCCCTCGTCAAGCTGCTAGAAGTGTCTCATTGTCATGCCCCATGCACCGACAACCACTCTCTCACCCTCGGGTGTTTACATGTAACCACTCCCCTCTCTCTCCGACCTTGAGTGTTACAGATGTTCTTCATGGAAATAACATGTTATGGAGAAATTCTAATGCGGATATACATTCAAAATTATGGGACAAAGTAGTTGCTTTTGGGGTGGAAGAAGGGGGCGATGTTGTTTACGATGTTGAAGCCGTTAGATGTTTAGAGTTAAAAGACCAGCTTTAAAAAATTCAAAAGGAAGTCACCAAATCATGTTTGCAATAAATATACTTTCTTACAATATTAGAGGGTATGGTAGTTTGATAAAAAAATGCCTAAATCAATTGATTAGGAAGGAAAATTTTGATGTGTGTTTAATTCAAGAAACTAAGTTGAAAATGGTCAATGACAATTTAGTGGTTGATTTGTGGGGGAATAAAGAAGTAGAATTGTTTTTAAAGGAGCAACTGGGAGATTAGAGGGATTACTTACTATGCGGAAGAAAGACTTTTTTGACCTTTTCTTTAGCTTTGTTGGTAGAAGCTTTATTGGAATTAAAGTGGGGTTGAAAATAAGGAATTTATAATATTATTAATGTGTACTCTTTTTGTTCCATTCCTTTGAAAAGGAAGTTGTGAAGAGAGTTAAGTGATTGCAAAAGCAACTTTATGGGCGAAATATGGTGCATTGGGGGGATTTTAACCCTAATAAGAAGGAGGGCGAGAGGAAGGAATTTCATTGTTTTGTGAATAGTGGTGAAAGAGTTGAGTTCAATAAGTTTATTGAGGGGATGAAGTTGATTGATCTTTCTTTGGTGGGGAATAAATTCATTTGGTTTAATTTTAGTTGTAAGATGATGAGTAGGTTGGGTAGATTCTTATTATCGGAAGAGTTGGTTTTCGAGTGGAATGTCGAAGGTCAAATGGTGGGGGATAGAGATTTTTACGATCATTGTCCCATTTGGATCAAGGGAAACTCTAATAATTGGGGTCCTAAGCCTTTTAAGTTTTTTAATTGTTGGTGATAGAAAATTTCAAAATGGCGCCTATAATTTTAGAGAAGTATCTTCAGAATATTCACCGAATTAAACAATTAAAATATTTTCTTTAAAGTTGTTCCGGAGTTATATCTCCGAAATAAAACTAATCAAATGTATATGGCGTCTCTCAAAATTGTCTTTGTTGAGTGTATAATAGATGCGTCTGAAAATATATTTTCGAAACTATGAAACATATTTAAAAATT